GAAGTAAGGTAAGGTAAGGTAAGTAAAGGTTGCTGTGCTTGCGATATGTTGATTTAAAATAATTATGTTAAACAACATAAAATTAAGGAGATGTTTTAAGAGTATATTTCAACTGTAGACGTGGCATGATCCAGTCCTGCAAATCTCATAGTTACAACTCTGAAAAAGCATATACCTAAATATTCTCATGTGGTTTTTCAAGGTTACGATGAAGCTGCAGCTGTGAGTGGGTATTTATATTGTATCCAAACGTATTCAAGAATGTCCTCTTGCTCTTTATGTGTGAAAATGTGTACGAAATTGCGTTGGGATCGTGCAGTCTGTTGGTTCCTACTTTAGATATTGAGCTAAATGCACTGCCGTTTTGAAAGAAAAATTCGGAGTTTGTTACCGGTTGACCATCAAAATATCCTGCTTAAGATGTGCGAAACACAGTGGGTTCACAAGCATGAAGCCGTTATAAGAATCAAGGAAATTTATTTAGCGACTGTGTATGGTCTCGAAGAACTCCAATCTAGCCACAATAAATAAACATAGCAACACGCCTTCAAAATCATTAACATACTTTGATTTTCGAATTTTGTTATATACCTAGTGATTCTTTAAAAAGTCATGTCATAAGCTATACATTGTCGCTATCAAAACTGTATGTAATTAACACAGACCCATGTCAGTCACGTTGATGATATTATTACCGTTTTGTTATTAACTTTTGAGACACAAAGTTGATCAAGACTCCATCTCTATAAATAAGCAAAGGTGTTGCTTGAAAAAAAAATGGTGGTGTACTATTTATGCCACATATCGTCGGAAAGCGGTTGAAGTCACTATCTGATGTGTTACTGTCAAATTTTTAGGTCAGTTGTGAAATTGAAGAGGCATTTTGTATATATTTGGCAGTGCTGTCCAAAAAAAGTATGTCTGTCATCAAGGCAGAACTTAAAGTGTAGAAAGCGGCTATGACTCTCACTTCACTTATTCCAAAATCAACTTTGAAGTGCTTAGACAAGTGCGAACAAAAACTATACACAAATATTTTCATATTGTTGTAAATATTGGCTACCCTACCTGTTTCCACTGCATTACACCAGAAAGAACTTTTTTAAGCCTAAAAAGACTTAAAAACTACTTGTGTAATTCAACGAGTGAAAGCAGACTGAACTACTTAACTTTAATGAATATTTACTATGGGATAGAAATTAATACTAATGAAGTAGTGGATATATTTAAAAACAAAAACAGTACGTTAATTTTGTAATGCTCATCTATATATAACAAGATATATTTTTTATTTAGCCCATACTCCTCTATAGCTCGGAAAAGGACTTTCACAATTCCTTCCAGGAGCTTTTTCTATCCCAATTTTTAACATCTTTAATATTTTTAATATAATTATAAGGTTTTTTTTATTTAAAACACTTGTTCCACATAAACCACGCAGAGTTATTAGTGGGATGAAACACATAACAGTTTTAATATGATGATGTACATTTAATAAATATTATATCTCTTAAATAATTTAATACATTTAAATTTTTTATCTGTCTAGATGGATTTGAGGTCGTTTAAAATTCCATGCATTCTTCTATGATTTTGGAAATATTGGCAGTCAAGCAGGAAGTGTTTCACTGTCAATGAAGTAGAGCAGTTGTTGCAAATTGGTGGTGAAACTTAACTGATTAAAAATTTGTATGTGAAAAAATATGACCATTTCTTAAACGGTTTATAATTACTGGATCTCGTCTACTTGTGGGGTTATTCAGAGATCTGTTCACCTTCGGGCATATTGGGTTTAATTTGGTTGCTGAATTTTCCCAGTAATTTTGCCAAATGTTATTGCAATGAACGTTAATCAGATGTTTTATGTCACTATAAGGATTTTTTGTAATTTTTGTAGTGTCTGCTAAGTTGATACGGCTTGTATTTGCTAGTTGATCTGCTTTTTCATTTCCCCAGATTCCAGTGTGCGATGGTACCCAAATGAAAGCTGTGTCGTTTCCCATGGAATTAAGTATTTAAATAAGCATTATATATTGCTTGTATAATGAGAGTTATTGTCTAAATTTACTTTAATTTCAATAACGCATTAAGTGAATCTGTAATGATGACGCACTTCATCGTGTTACTCGTTTTGAAAAAAGTTAAGGCTTTTAATATACTTTATACTTAGGAGTTTTCTTCATCAGAATAGTAGAATAGTAAGCAGCAGCATTTTTGTCTTGGGTTTTGGGGGCGTTGGTAAAGATTTGTAAGTAATTGTATATATAATATACAGTAAAACCTCCCTTAACTGAAACCTTTTTAACCGAATCATCGTTTAACCGAAACGGCTGACAGTTTCAATAATTTCGTCAATAAAAAGTAAATTTTTATCGCAAAATGTAAATTCTATCAATTTCACTCACCAATTAATGCGTATGTGTGTTGGAAAATCAAAAAACCAAGATCTCTAAAAGATATTTATGAAAAAGCACTTCCAGTTTTTTATAGTAGAAGCCAAAAAAACTCATGGATGTCGACCACTTTATTTTCAGAATGGTTCGAAAATGAATTTGTCCTAAGCGTAATTTGTCCTAATAATTTGTAAAATCCTTTTTAAAATAAAAAAACCTTCCCATCAAAGCATTGTTGCTTGTTGACTCAAAATCTATATAATAGTGATAATTGTCAGATTTTTGCCACCGAACGTCACGAGCTTAATTCAGCTGTTACACTAGGGATTAATAGAGACATTCGAGAGACAATATAGACGAGCATTCTTAGGACATCTGTTACTACAGGAGAAAAATGAATCCAAAAGTGTTCCTGAAATCCTTAAATGTTTAACAATGAAACATGTTGTTTATCGGTGTGCTGAGTTCTGGGTTAAGATCAAATCTTCAACTTTGGAAAAATGCTGGAACTAACTTTTTGCTAGGATTTTGATTGACGATCCTGAAGAAGAAAGTGGCAAAGAAACGACAGAAGAAATTAAATTCATCGACCAGGACATCATTGATATGGTTCCTCATCCACACAACCTGAGCGTATCAGACGACGAAGATGACGACCCAACAGACAACAGGCAGCATAAGACCGCCGACGAGGTTTTCTATGCTTTAAGGTGAAGAATTTTATACAGTAGGCTTAATATGTTAGGGAGACGACTAGGTTCTTAATTTTTGTTATCATTGTATAAAGTTTTGTCCTTTTCAGATTGCTTTACGTTTCGTCGAATGATGAAATGAGGCAAACTCACGACGTTCTGCAAATGAACGATGGAGATATATAGCTCTAAAACATCGCTGTCAAACGATAACATAAAAGAAAATAGAAGATTTCTTTAAAAAACTTGTTAAACGTGTTCATTTTTCTTCATTGTATTACTTTATTCTGTATTTACTTACTTAATAACAATACTTTAACCATGAATACTATAAAAAACAATGTTATTTTTAACCGAAATTCTTGTTATCCGAAACGGCCTCCCCCCATTATTTCGGTTAACAGAGGTTTTACTGTAATATGATTTCTGCAAAAAGATGTTTAATTATCGAGAAGTTTATATTTCATTTGGGGTACTTTCTTAGTATTAGGTCAATGGTCAGTAGGCGGGTTGTTCATGGAATAGAGATTGCATTTGTATATTATAGCAATGGACTAAGTTGATCCATTTAGAGGTATACAGTTTGTTATATTTTTTAAAAGAGAGGATGCCAGAGTGGAAAATCTGAAAGAAAAGAGGATGTTATTTTTGTATTGAAATAATTATTTTGATTTTGGTGATTATTAGGTTAATTATACGGCCCTTTTTTTCTTATAATATCCGAAGAGTCCACCTTTAACAAGCTATAACACTTAATCATTTTACAGAAAAATTACTTTCTGGAGTGTTAGTTTTAAATGTCTTTTTATGATCTATAAAACTAGAAATTTTTACCTCTCGAAAAACAAACCTTTTCGTACAATTTAACATTGAATACATTGAGTCAGATATTCTCAAAAAAATGTCTGCTTTCACCGACCATATTTCTTTGTATTGTAACTAGAATATTTTTAAAAAAATAAACATAAATCTCAGTCTTCTTTAATAAGTTTTATTTTTGTTTTGCATACTTTTTCGATCAAAGGTATATTTTTTTTAGTTATTCATAAAAACCGTTAAAAAACGGTTCTTTTTCAATGAATATTCGCTGTTTTCAACCATAAATAGTTCAAATTGTATTGATTTTCTGTAAGAACTCTATAGAACAAAAGTAAATTTGCTTATAATTTGATCCTATATCCGTTTCCGTGATTATTTATTTTTTGAAGAACTTTCATCCACGGAAGGGGTGGCAACCACCCCTGGAACAAAAGTACAAATCAGCGTTATATAACTTATGTTGTTTGAGCACTTTCCCATCAACTTACCAAATTTCAAGTAAATCGGTCTGACAAAATTGGGAGGTGAATAGTACGAGTGACTGGAATATTTGCGGAATTTAGATTTTACTTTATTCGTTAAAGCTGGTTGCTAGATTGATAAATTAATTGGTAAAATCAATTTCATTTAATCTTATAGAAATAGGAAAATGATCACTGTTATATAATGGTGTGTTCCTGTAATTCATATGAGAGAGGTAAATGATAAATAAGCTTTTCTAAAAATCGAATCAGCTTTTTTTTTCTACAGTTCTTTATATAAACAATATTGGAATGTTATTATTGTGAATAATATAGTCCCTATTACATTTAATTTAAATGTATATTTAGTTGATAAAAAATCTTTTACCTACGCCCGTGAGATAAAGGTCTTGCTTTTAAAAGTTGAATATCGAGATATGTTGAGAAGACAATGATACATTAAATAATTTTGCGATTTATGCAATCGACGAATTAACCGGACTGCCTAATTGATCCTCGAAAATCAAGTTGCCCTTAGTGCAATTTGGCTTTGGTTTTGGTATAAATTGATACAAACAGTGAAACGATGTATCAGTTCTTTGGCAGATTTTTAAAGAACAACTCCAGCTTCTACAATGGCTTTCAAGGTAAATTCAACAATATTTTTTACTAATATTTATTTCAATTATTTATTGTATGTAAGCTTGACTTATACATTCCTAATTTATTTATTTATTAACAATTGTTTATATAAAGAAAATCTTAAATGAAATTCAGGAAATATTAGAACAGGTCCCGTTTCTCGATTTTTTTCATTTACATTATTCGTTTTAAATTTCTTCTTTTTCTTGATTCTGGCATCGTCTCTTACTCTACAGCATGGAGCGAATCTACTTATTTTTCAATTTATGTGTTGTACATATTATTTGTTAGTTTGCAGCTTTTTGTTTTATGGATGCGTTCTTCTTGTAATCTTTTGTCATTTAAGTTATAATTTCTTTCTTCATGAGGGCTTCTATTAGGTTTATTCATATTACTTATACTAATTTTGTTGACGGCAGCTCGAAAAATATATGCGGAGGATCTGTTAAGCCATTCTCTCAGGTTTCTAAGCCATGATGATATTATCTGACCTGGCACTTTCCTTTCGTCTATATTGATTTATATTCTTAAATGAAGTACATTATATCTCTCTTGGTAACGTATTCCATGACTTTTCCTATCCGCTGCAAAAATAACTTCATTACGAACTCTATCTTCGCAACATCTGCTTCTTCTTCTTAATATTTATAAGCAAGTCTGCTTGTTTATTGGCGAATTAAAACCTCTATGCAAGGTTGTCAGTACACATCTCATACTTCTTCTTGGTGACTTATCTCTTGTTATTTTGACGACACGTGTCTCATCCATTATGCTTATGTGGTTATTCCATTCTTTTTTCTATTTTGTGTTCATTCATTTATACACTGTACGTTACAATTTCTTCTAACGTCTTCACTTTTCTTTATATTCCTCGGCGTATTTCCTGCAATTATTTTCAGGACTCTTATCTGTGCTGTTTCCAGTAGCCTTTGTGTTGTGGCTGTGTTGGGTTTTGTTTCAGAGGCATATATCATTATTGGTCTTTCACTGGCTTTATAAATTCCTGACTTTATCTCAGTGTTAATGTGTCTGTTTCGCCATAGTGTGTTATTAAGGCATCCTGCCACTCTATTTGCTTTTTGTACTTGATCTCCCAGTTCTTTGTTCAGGTCTTCGTAGCTAGATAGTGTAATACCAAGGTATTTTATTTCCATTACTTGTTCAATACTGATGCCATCAATTCCTATTTAACATCTGGTCGGTTCTTTGCTGATAACTATTGTTTTAGTTTTTTAAGATGAGTTTGTTATATTAAATTCTTTTGCCCTTATGTTAAATCTGTAGGCCAGTCTTTGCAGACTATTTTAATCTTTGGCTATCAATATTTCGTCGTCCGCGTAACAGAATCTTTTTGTTTTTTGTTTCCAATTTTATATCCTATTCATTTGTTGCCGCTTTTGATGATTACATCCACGATTAACTTAAAGAGCATAATGCTCAATGAGTCCCCCTGTCTTATTCTGTCCTCATATGTCTGTAGGTTTGGTAAGTTATACATTTATTTTGACTTCTATTTTGTTGTTTTGGTAGATGTTTTCGATAGTTTTTGTAATATTTAGGGGAACTTCTCTATTATGCAGAAGATGGATTATATCTTTGAGTCTTACTCTGTCAAATGCTTTTTTAAGTCAATCAGACACAGAAATTCTGGTCTATTACACTCTAGTGATTTATTAGTAATTGGATTTATAACGAATATTGCATCGGTACACGATCTTCCAGTACGAAAACCCTGTTGTTTATCTGCTAAACTTATCCTCTGATTTATAAATTCTTGTAAAATTTTAGTTGTAAGTTTTCCAGTAGTATTTAACAAGTTTATACCTCTGTAGTTTTCTAGCTGTTTTTCATCTTTCTTTCTAGTATTTTTTTTGAATAGTAGAATTGGTTTGCTCGTTCTCCATCCTTCCGGTATTTTATTGGGTTTGTTGCAGTTTCCTATAAAATATTCGTAACTTTTTGTTAGATTTGATTTTCTCCGTAGTATTTTTAAGCGAGCATTGCAAGACAAGCCATCTGGGAGATAACAGAAACATAAGTTTAAGATAAGGGACGATATATGCCACATGGGACAGACGTGCACTTGGGTTAACAGTATCTGCGACACTTTGCTTCGGTCTTATCAAATATAGTCAAGTTTTGTCTCCCAAACAACAGACACGTAAATTTCTTCGCTGTTCGACAAAGAGCGAGTTCTAAATTGAACATAATATTTTCTGTTCCCTTTCTGATGACTCCAATTATTATATTGAGGTCCTCGTATGTGTAGAACGCAACAGTGTTTTATAATTTTATTAATTAATGTATATTTATATTAAGTTCTGTATTTAAGGTTACATCTGATATTTCCGGTTCTAGAGTCATTTGTTCTTTCTCTGCACAGAGCTTTTTTAGGTAGTCAATCCATGTATCGTTTATTATGTGTTTTGGTTCTTCGACTTTCACTCGGATTCCGGTCCACCCAACGTATTCGTAAAATTCTCCGATACACCCAGATTTCAAAGGCTTCAAATTTTCTTAAAAGTGTATCCGTTAAAGTCCGACTTTCGACACCATATAAAAGCATAGAGAACATATAAAACTTATTAACCTAATTTTCAGTTTTAAGATAATATTATTTCCACATGACGTTTTCTTCATTTTAAAAAATGCAGCTCTGGGCCTTCTCTATACGTTTTCTAATTTCTTTACTCATGTTTCAGTTACCATTTAGATTATAACCAAGATACGTGATACTTTTGGTTCTCTAAAATTGTTCTCTATAAGCTGTTACTACTTTTGGTTTTATTGGGGTTTTACTGACAACCAGCATCTTTGTGTTTGTCTTTGTAGTGTTTAGCTTTAGTCCATATTTATCACATGTTTTGATAATCCTATTAATTAGATGTTGAATTTTTTCATAACTATTTCCAATTAACACCGTGTCATCTGCCTACCTCAAATTCTTAATATTTGATGGCATTCATTTTGATACTAAATTGAACACTATTAAATTCTTTATTGAAAACGAACTGTCTTACTCCTATTTATAATTAAAACTCTTCAGAATTATCCTAGCCAATCTTGATGTTTGCACCTTGATGCAAGTAAATATTTTAAAATATACGTAGATATTTATCATCAACACCTACCCTTTGAAGGACGGCTATTATTTAAATATGTTTTACTCGCTTAAAGGTCTTCTCAAAGTCAATAAAACATGTATAAACTGGATGACCAACTAATCTGTACCATAACCTCAATACTAAATAGTGCTCTGGTTCTAAGGTTATTATGGATCCCAAACTACGTGTCACTAAGTTGTTCTTCTATTTTTTGGCTCATCAGACTGATGGTTTTGTAGTCACTACATTTTTTCGCATTTGCTGTTGCTTTTTTGCGTCCCTAAAGTCGACAACAGCGAATCCATTGGTATATAGCCAGTTTCATAAATTTTATTAGAAATATAAGATCTTTTGCCTGAACTTTCGAAGACTTTTATTATTTCACTCAGGATTTCATCCGGCCCTGTCGATTTTCTGGTCTTCGTCAATCTTATTGCTCGTTCAATTTCGTTCATAGTTATGCCAGGTTTTGTCCCTCAATGTATTCTTTCCATCTGTTTATTTTATCCAAATCAGTGATAATCAATATGCCGTCTCTCTAATTATTTGTATGTTTTTTTTACTCACTTTTTTACTTCTTTTGTTTTTTTATACATATTAAATGCATCATGTTTTCCCTGCAACTCTTTGATTTTCAAACATTTTTTTTTAATTTATGTTTTTTGTAGCTCTTATTTTAGTCCTAATCTCTTTATTAACGAATTTATATATTACGTGTCTATTCTTAAACTTGCGTCTTTTGTTCATTAGATTCAAATCGTATCGTTTATCCAGTGTTAGTTTATCAGTACGCGTGAAGTCAATAATTATAATTAGGAAGTATGTTTTTGTAGATGTAAAACCACAGTGACAATTGTAGAAAGTTTTGACTTGGTGCAGTAACAAAAACGCCTGAAAATATATGATTTAGGAAATATTGGTAATTTGATTGATAGTTTCATCACACTTCAGTGGTTTTCAATATAAAATCGGCCAAAAAGGGTGAAACATACAATACTAAAATGTATATTATAATATTTTAATTTAATTTTATATAGCTAAACTTTCATTAGAAGTATTTGTAATTAAAAATTATTATTTTTTGCAGTTTGTTGTTTTATGTTCCCTTCTGGTCTACGCCAGTGCTGGACTAATTGGCGCTCCCCTTGCTCCAGCTGCAGTCGCTTATACTGCACCAGCATTGACAGCTGCACCCATCCATTACACAGCTCCAGCATTGACATCACAATCATCAAACATATACCGCAGCTTTGGAAACCTCGGTCAAATTTCTACCTACTCTAAATCAATCGATACTCCCTTTTCCAGCGTCAGGAAATCTGATGTAAGAATCTCAAATCCTGGTGTACAACTGACCGCAGCCGAACACGTAGCTCATCCTCTTCTGGGTGTAGCGTATTCAGCTGCTCCTGCTGTCTCCCACGTCAATTACGTTACTGGATATACCAATTATGCTTTTTAAGAGGTTTGTTTTGTTATTGTACATATTTTGTATTTATTTATGGTGACAAATAAAAAAATCACAAAAAATTGCAGTTTATTTTTACTATCAAAATATTGTTGAAAAACTTACAATAACAAAATAAAAATAACGACTATATTTAATAGAATAAAGACATAGGTATGCATGGAAGACAAAACATATATGCTGAGAATTCATCTTTTGCGCATGGAACAATCTTGACAACAACATATAAATTATTGAGGAGCGAGCGGTCAATCAAAACGCAATAAATCCACTAAAACTGATTCTGACTTAAATGTAGAAATATCTCTCTTGCTCTCTATTGGGTTAAAAAATTTAAATTAGATTATATTTTAAAGAACAAGGGTAGTATATTATTAAATGTAAATAGGAATATTTAACGCACAATATGTTTCATGATATGTGAAAAAAAGAGTGGATTTATCCGATAAGAATGATTTTAAAAAAATATGTGTACTGCAGGTACCAGAGAGCATTAAAAAAATAATAAACTTAGTACATATGTACAACATAAATATGTACAACATCAAAATCAGGATTAGATATGTACTACATAGTCGTCCTCCAGGCTGTCACATGGGTTTTGATGTTGTTCTTCGGTATTGCAGCACTCTGTTGATAAAAGTTTCCAATCTAAAGACTTATCGTTCAGCCATCGCCGAAGTGCTGTTCTAAGAGATGTTTCAGAGATTTTTTCTTCTTTTCAATAAGGTCGTTATTCAGCGGAATACTGACCAGTTCCATACCCTGATTTACGCCAAACCGTAAAAGTTTTTTGCGCCTTTATCAACTTCTAGAAAACTTTCATATCAAAAGGTTTGAAAACAGCAAACTTTTATTGTATTGTCTTGTAGTTTTTATAATGAATTCTTTTTAAATCGTGTATTTCACAAATTTTTTGTAAGTTGTTTTGAAGAGAGTTAACGTCATAAAGGAATCAGTATGTTCCAAAATCCTTCACTATACCGAACTGTTGATAAATGTTTATGTATTCCTCTTTTGTTTTTACAACAGATTGTTTTCTTAGGCCTTTCTTAACCCTGCCAAACAACCTATCTGCTGGCAAAAAAACTGTGTAAAACCGTTCCACGTACCGGAAAAGTTATACTAATTTTTTCATATTCTGGAGGTCCCTTGACTTTAAGCCAATAGTATAATGCATGGATTATAAGTGAGTTCTTATTTTGTTCTCCGCATCCATCACAAAAAAGTCACAGCATATTTATTCTATCCAGATTGAGTGAGTCCAAATGATGCAGAAAAGTAGATCCTACTTGCACAGAACCCCGTCCAGCTTGATCCTCAGTCCACATATAAAAATGGGAACGTTTTGATCCCATATCAACATAGCATAAAACATAAAATTCTACTTGGTGTGCGTAAAATACTTTAGATAAGGGTGTATTAGGCAATTTCTGAACCTGCTGCAAGTCAAAACAAAAACTTGAAAACGTGAAAACTCTCGGCGGATTTACATTACTCGTAGAATGCTTTAGCACTCATCTTATGACACAATTTTACATCTTGCTCAATTGTATTAGTTGAGCTTTAAATGTTTCCTTATTACTTTTAATATCACCCAGTGTAACAGTAATACCTTGGTAACTATGGCCGTCATGATTACATGGTCTTTTGAAATTTGTCAAAGCTACATCTGAATCACCATATCTAAAAATGGAAAGAAATAACTCTAAACTGGACATCTCATGTAATAAAAAAACGGGTGTGGCAGTCCAGTGGGACTGCTGGTAAAAGTTTTACTTCTATACACGCGTTCGCCGTTACAAATTTTTATAGGAGTCAATCTGCACAATCATTACATATGTAATGCTATAGGTAAGAGAGAACAGAAAGAGAAAGAGAATTAGGTGTAGAGGTATATGGTGCATTGTTTGCTGTATATAAACAACATTTGACCTGTAATAGGAATATAGTAAATGAAGGATTGAATCAATATTTTGATGAAAATGTATATTTTTATTTTCATATAATATATGACATATTATGTTGGAGTTAAATGCAAAAAAAATTGTTTACACATACTCTGCAGTAAAATTCATTGTTTATTTTGTTATTAATATAAAAATACAATACAATACACTACAACATAATAATACAATACAAATTAAAATGCAATATTCATAAGTATTTAAAAATGACAATATACATAACTTACTCATATGTTTAATTTACCATGATAATAATAATAATAAAAAATAATAATAGTATTAATAAATATTAAATATATTTACGAAAGGAACATTTTTATTCTCGATAGAGAAAGAGAGAGAAAATATATCTTCGGTTTCTCTCTTACCTATATCTTACATATGTAATAATTTTACCGATTCACTCTCGTACAAATTTCGAACGTCGAAAGCGAGAATAGAAGTATAACTTCAAAAATCCGAACATACTAAATAAAAAAATATATTCCCTCATTGGGATTGAACCCGAGACTTCTGGTTCTAAATACCGCGCTTCAACTCATTCGACCAATAACCTTAAATAATAATGTGGCTAATGAATGTCATTATTTGACAAGAACAATATTTAAAATGTCAGTTTTTTGGTTGTATTTTGTGGATGTGTTTATTTATTTATTGTATTTCCAAAATGGAAAGGTTAGTACGAATCATATGCTTGCATCAAAAATATCTTATGCTTGCTATATATTTATAAATTAAAATTATTCTCGAGAGAGAAAATGTATCTTCTGTCTCTCTCTTACCTATATCTTACATATTATGTAATGATTTTGCCGATTCCCTTCCGTACAAATTTCCTACGTCGAACACGCGTATAGAAGTATACCTTCAAAAAACATTTTACCTTAGGCATTTCCTACTAGCATGTTTAGAAACATTTTCATTCCTTATTCTAACACCTTTTTCTTTAATCACCTTTAACTCCTCAAAATTGCTCATTTTAGGTACAAATGAAACTACAAAAATAATATCGATACACAACAAAACGAGTCATATTAAATTATTTTTAGGTGAAAATTATAGAGACAGAATATCACCACAAGTTATTAGGGAGTACTTGCCCCATCTAGTAGACAAATGCCAGATTAATATATATTACTTTCACACACATATCTCTACTTCATTCAATCAAATCTATCTCCTCAAGAACTTCACGTTTACTGTCAAACAACTACAATAGCAGAATTAAGTTCTCCATTCAACAATACATAATAGTTTCAACCATGTTCTACCATCCCTCAATTAATAGAGTACCGGCATGTAAGTAACGTTTATTTATTTGCTCATTTATTAATTTATTACAATCTATTAGACTATTTTATAACAATTTGTGGGTCTTACCTTGTCTGTTTAAACTTTTAAAACTTTTTATACCTTTTTATTCAATTTACTCATTTTGAAATAAAACCACAGACATGTAATATTGGCATAATTATTGTAATTTATAACATCTAATTTGTTTATCTTTATTAGACAACACCCAGGGTTTTTATCATTTCAGCATTTATTTAACTTTGTATCGAGACCTGAAGATGCTTTGCATATTGTAGAAAGCGAAACCGGTCGTCTGATAGTTAAATTAAATTGATTGTGAGTAAGTCTTATTTATTATTTCTTTACCAATTTGAAATGGACTCACATAAGCAACACATTCATGATTACTTTCTTCAAATAGTGGTACCTGTGGCGGTTATATTGCATTATAGCAACGTCATTGATTATAAACCACTACCTAGTGTAGTGGTAGTGGTTTATAATCAATGGCAACGCTTATAGTAACACAAATGGATTTATTGCATTTTGATTGATCTGCACACTTTCGATAGCTTTATCTATTGGAAATATCGCGGTTGGAAGGAATTGACTGTGACCACTGGATATATTTAATAACAACGCTATTGAGTATTAATTTAACTCAAATTCTGAAAAAAACAGAATAACAGTCTGATGTTTTAATCAGACAAATAATAATACTATCGGATAGTGTTATAGATAGATATCCGATATAGACGGATCATAATAATAGATAACGATGCTCAAAAGAATATACAAAGTCGTCCGGTTCTCGTCTTTAATAATAATATATAATATAATGCCTTAATATTCCCCTACAATTTTATAGGGGTGGCATTTTTAACAGAAAAACAATACTGGACCACGAAGATATTGTAACATTTAGAATAAACCAAAGAAAAAGGACAGACCGATTGTTATATTTCTCGAAATATACAATTTAACTGATTTTGTTCTTGAAGATAAGATTGATTGGATCAGATGTGAGCGAAATTTTTAAATAATAGTGGAGTATCCAAGATAAAGACGAAATTAATTTTAAAAAATGTAAGGACATGTATAATGTACCTAATATCTAGACATCTGCTACACAATCACAATTATTTAATATTAATGCCCAATCTTAGTAGTCAATTAAATTTAAAAACAAAATCCACATAAAATCGCAAATACTTATTATCACTAATAGTCAACATCCATAATATTACTGGTTGCCTATATATTAGTACTAAGCTGTACATTTGGAGGGTGTTAGTTACCATTTTCAGATACACGAAAGTTTGTATTTCTTTCTGGGCATTCTATTTGAAGAATGGATGAAGGAGATGGATTTTGCTAGGTAATGGACACCTGTAAAGTTTGCATTCATTGTTTAACACATTATAAATTTAGTATTTACATATTCTTCTTAAAGAAAACCGCCTGCAACATTTTTTCAATATTGATGAGACTCTTTATTACCATTTATGAAACCATCACTCGCTAGTTTGATGTCTTTATCTTAGTGATTATATTATGTATGTATGGAATGGTAATATAATATGTATGAAATATCTTATTCTTCTTCTTCTTCTCATGAAGAAGAAGAAGAATAAGATATTCCTCCAGTAAGTTGTCGTTCCATTGTTTTCTTGGTCTTCCTACTGATCGTCTTCCTATTGGGGAACCGTCTCTTGCCGTCTTTACCACTCTATT